AATCTGGATGTCATCATAGATGGAACCCTCAATGACAGTACGCTCATTTGATCCAGTTCCAGCCATAGGAATCTTACTTAAATTGAAGGGCTATGTGGGAATATTATGAAGTAAGGAAAGTAACAATACATTTTGACATTAACTCTCATCAAAAATGTGTAGATTATGCAGAAAGTAACTAACCGTGTGTGTCTGTGAGTTACTTCTTTGCATTATCTTTGCAAAGAGTTGAATTTCAAATCAATTTAGAATCACGATTTCCATATTTTTTGTATAAAGATGGAAAAGTAAAAAGCCGCAACTTTTCATTCCTGAAAATCCTATGTAGTTTCATGGAACTTGTCAAAAACTTCACATATTATGGTAGGTATATGTTACAGCCATTATCGTTGGGAGAATCCATTTTAAGCTTTGATGTGGAAACTGCTAACTCGATATAGTTTGATCAACCAATATGCTGTGAGTTTAATGAATTTGTTTCTGTGTTTGCGAATTAAACTGATTGTTCTTTCCACTAACATTTCTGCAACATGTACAAATTCAAACAAGGCAAATATTAGCCTGCCGGGTTCACGAAAGTTTGATTCAGTTGTGTATTTTGCTGTCTGCTTTTATATATCCTTACTCTGAAAACATTGTTTATTACATACACTACAAAAATTAATTTGGTTTCTCAGATGCAATCCACTTGATGAGTAATAAAACCACAATTTATTTTTCTCCTAGACAGTTCCACAATTCTAACAGTATAACAACCGGAAGAAAGTTTTTTGTTGGGTAATAGGATGACTGGATAATATGTTTCTCAAATTTCGGTGTACATCGAAGCATATTTTCAGAAATGATGATCTATCTTGATTTTCAAAATCTTCAGTACCATCATTCAACCCATTTTTTTTTCTGAGGATAAAACACAAATTGATTCGGAATCGCTGGAAAAAAAAATGAAAAGAATAACCGAAAATAATAATTTTATTAAAACAAAAGACTGAAATCACAAAGAAATCACACACAACAACAACCAAAACAAAATAAAAAATTCAAAAATTGAAATATTAATAAAAGCTGAAAATTCAAAAATTAAAAAAAAAATATTAACAAAAAATGAAGATTCCAAACCAATTTACGCCACGACGTTTCGATTGTTAGTATCCACAATCGTCTTCAGGTTAGTATCCACAAAGGTGGTGGAATTGTGAAGTTCTGATCAACAGCTTCAGCTACTGAGCAACACTATTTTTTCATTTCCTTCATCCTTCACTACATGTCGAAAATTCCACCTGTTATATCCATTCATCGATTAGTTAGTGATTATGGTGAATTGTGAAACATATAGGTCTGAGAACTGAACCCAGAGGTACGCCACAATCAGTTTACTAGTACTCTTTGCTTGGGACAATCGATTGTTGAAAGCTTCAAAGAAAACACAAAAAAATATTGATTTCTGTTCGAGTTAAACAAAAAATAGCTTCACATAGGAGCTTAAAAATAAATACCTAAACATTGTAGAGAAGCATTTTCAAGTGATGAAAGATCAAAAGTTTCCGATATATTGAATTCAACTCGTAAAATTCCTTCGAAACGATTCATGAAGGTTTTAATGGAAGAAATGAAATTCATCATATCGTAACATTGAACTCATTTTCGCTGTGCCTTATTGAAATTAATGATATTGCAACGCCAACTTGTGTTCTAGCTTAACTCAATTACCACCGTTCGAGGAAATGACTTGGAACAAATTGTTTCAAATTACTGCGAAACAAACTCTGAAACAAAGTGAAAAATTAATCGGATGATGGATGAGCAACAACTGTTCAGAACAGGTCATACCTTTTGCCGATCAAAGGAAAAATGGTGTCTTGGCTGAAGAACGGGTAGTGAAATAAATACCTATAGTTTAAAAAACACGCTTTCTAAGAATATCGAAGTGGGAAGTTAGAATTTTTTTTTAATTAATCTTGAAACAATGTCGAACGGAAAATACCAGTATTATTGATCTGAGTTCGCGATCTGTCTCCATAGCCAATCATCATAAGTATTTCAATTCTTTGCTTTACACTCAAATTTATTCGAAGCAATACTACAGAAAATTCACGAATTGATATAACAACTACTGTCCTATTTAACAGTTACTGAACGGAATGACATTTCACAAATTTGAAATGAATGAGGAATACTTGTTAGCACGGTTACTGTCAACTACAGCAAAGACTACTCTTCGAACATTTAAAATAAAGTAATCTATTTATTACTGGATTACTTTTCCATTGAATATTACTGGAGTTTTTTTCCCAACACCAAATCGTTATTTTTAACACCTCGACACATGTTTCGATCACTAAGTGATCATCTTCAAAGAGGAAGATTAAAACTAGAAACTAATGCGAGCTATAGCTATATAGCTATAAAGGTATACCAACCTAAATTAATTTTACAATTTTGCCTAACCTATTATTTTACAATATATGTTTATATAAAACAATTCAATTATATAAAAATTAATTTCACAATATTGCCTATCCAAATTTATTTTTGCAATGTGTCCTTATGTAGTAATCAGTAAACCCAACAACATTATTTTATTTTAACAAGCTATATAGTATGCTCTTTGGTATACGTCCGTCATCGTTATTCACAATATCATTGTGTTCACTTAATTCTACACTCTCATAGGCATCTAGTTGCCTGTTGTTATTAATTTGCCTAAGTAATCTTAATGAACTGCAACAAAACCATTCACAATTCATTAGGATTAGTTAGACAAGCTAACAACAACAGGCAACTAGATGCCTATGAGAGTGTATAAATAAGTAAATACAATAATATTATGAATAACGATGACGGACTTATACCTAAAAGAGCATACTATACAGCGTGACTCACGGTCGATGGTAGGTTTGACGTTTCTGGAAAACGCAAAGCATGATGTTTCTGAAATTTTCACCTCTCACATTTCCTTACCTGTTCTATCGATCTGAAATATTTTCAGCATTGCGGCGTTGCCACTTCCATCAAAAAGTCCCAGCAACTCAATTTTTTTAAATGGAACACCCCGTATATCAATACATTTTTGGAATTGCTCTGGTATTTCAATACTTTTTTGTTAATAATGTTCTATACCTATCTCTATCTGTTTTCGAGATAAAAAATAAATTGTGCTAAATATGGTCCAAAACATATCCTCAATTCAAATTAAGTACATCAGTACTCTCAATTCATGAAAAGTTGATATTTTGATGATAGTTTGGACAAACTCGAAATATATAAATAACACCAAGAAATCGACTCCATATCATACAGGGCGTGCTAAAATTACTATTATTTCCATTGTGCATAAAAGTAGTCAAAAGTTTATTTTTTCAAAGGAACCCCCTGTATATTACTCGGTAAATTGAAAGATGGTGAAAAATGCTTCAAGATGATATATCACATCTCCATACCTAAATCATCAAGTTTTCTCAATAAAGCCGTTTTTGGAAAAATAAATTTATAGAGTAATATACAGGGGGTTTCATTTGAAAAAATGAATTTCGACTACTTTTATGCACAATGGAAATAATAGTAATTTCAGCACGCCCTGTATGATATGGAGTCGATTTCTTGGTATTATTTGAATATTTCGAGTTTGTCCAAACTATCATCAAAATATCAATTTGTCATGAATTGAGAGTACTAATGTACCTCATTTCAATTAAGGCTATGTTTTGGACCATATTTAGCACAATTTATTTTTTATTTCGAAAACAGATAGAGATAGGTATAGGACATTATTGAAAAAAAAAGTATTAAAATACTAAAGCGATTCCAAAAATGTAAGAATATACGGGGTGTTCCATTGAAAAATATATAATTGCTAGGACTTTTTGATAGAAGTGGCAACGCCGCAATGCTGAAAATATTTTAGATCGATAGAACAGGTAAGGAAATGTGAGAGGTAGAATTTTCAGAAAAATCATGCTTTGCGTTTTCCAGAAACGTCTAACCTACCATCGTGAGTCACGCTGTATAGCTTGTTAAAATAAAATAATGTTGTTGGGTTTACTGATTACTACATAAGGACACATTGCAAAAATAAATTTGGATAGGCAATATTGTGAAATTAATTTTTATATAGCTGAAAATTGTTTTATATAAACATATATTTTAAAATAATAGATAAGGCAAAATTGTAAAATTAATTTAGGTTGGTATACCTGTACGGGTGGTACGCCTGGATGATTTACCTGTATAGGGATACCTATATAGCATGAATAGGTTTAGCTCGCATTAGTTTCTAGTTTCTTCCTCTTTGAAGATGTGATCACTTGGTGAATACCGATGACTTTATCACAATAATATGGATCACCCTGTATAATGAAATTCTGGTATGAAATTCAGAATATTGAAATTAAAAATAGACGTGTTTCAGGTTTTTGTAAAACGACTTTTGGTTTTGGAAATATCGAATTTATTCCATACTTTGCGGACACCCGGTATATTGGTACATCAGGATTGCCCATTTCATCTTATTTATCTATTATGATTCTAACACACCGCTCATAACATTTGTGTCACTTAAATGTCATACAAACAATATTATACCACTCACACGCACCTACCATTGTATTCATTTATAGTTATACATTTATATGTGTGTGTGCGAATGATTTGTAAATATTTATTCTTATATTAAGACAAGTCATTGGATTTCTTCATATTTTCGCAATTGTTAGTATGATTATCATTTATAAGTTTTATTGCATCGTATTTTCTCGGAACAAGTGTGAGAAACACTTATCGAATACTCATTTATTCACCTTCATCTTCTAACTACATTGTTCTGTATTCTTCTTTCTTACGAGAATAAATATTTTCATTATTATGATCATTATATCGAAATCAAAATCAATAAATTACTTGGTATATTATTTTCTAAACGAAAGTACTTCCAATCAACAAAACCCTTCAAACCCCATCCTGTCATTCATGATGATTTCATTAACGAATTGACTTTCTTTCAGGCTTGACACCGATTCCAGAAGTATGGCTCCCGAGATATCAGCACAATAAATCACGTAGAGTGATCAGAGTGGAAAGGGGTCATTCACCGACTAAATGTATTAAAAATTCATATTCGAAACCATCGTTCCCCGAACCTAATGATCCGCCTCAAGTTCGAAAATTAATTCGAAGAATTTCCATGAATAAAACATCCGGAAGGATCGCGATAATGGCAAATACTCATGCATATTCAACGATGACGTGAAGGCTCCTCCACGCTAGAAAAACAAGACAATATTCGTATGGCGACCACTATCAACCCCAGCATAGTCAACGAAACCGTCAACTCCACCAACGAGTACTTCACCGGATACAACCAGATCGAGCAAATCGTTATCTCCTTCATCCTCGTCACCATCATCCTCGGGACCATCGTGGGTAACATCCTCGTGTGCGTGGCAGTGTGTTTAGTGCGAAAGCTGAGGCGGCCCTGCAACTACCTCCTGGTCAGCCTAGCGGTGAGCGATCTGTGTGTGGCCATCCTGGTAATGCCCATGGCGGTCTTCTACGAGATCAACGGCAAATGGATCTTCGGGGAGATCATGTGCAACCTGTGGGTCAGTTTTGACGTGCTCAGCTGCACTGCGTCCATCCTGAACTTGTGTATGATCAGCGTGGACCGGTACTACGCGATAACAAAGCCTTTGGAGTACGGAGTCAAAAGGACCCCCAAGCGGATGATCCTCTGGGTTATCCTGGTGTGGTGCTTCGCGGCGTGTATTTCTCTCCCGCCACTCCTCATCCTCGGTAACGAACACATGGAGATCGGGGAGAACGGGGAAAAGAAGTTCAATGTTTGTTTGGTTTCGCAGGACTTTGGTTACCAACTCTACGCGACTATGTGCAGCTTTTATATACCGTTGACTGTGATGATGCTCGTATACTATAAGATTTTTCGGGCGGCTAGGAGGATAGTGAACGAGGAGAAGCGAGCGCAGAGCCATCTGGAGTCGCACTGCTACCTGGAGATCAGCGTGAAAAACGGCGGGGGACACGCTGAAAACAAAATTTCTAGTCAGACGGCCTCGCCTGCTCCGGGCAGGGGGAACCACAGAACCAGTTCGGGAAGTACGAATACGATGGTAAGTGAAGCGATTATGATTGATTGTTACTTGATAACAAAAGAGTACCAAACAATATAATAATGCGGTATTATTCAGCCGATTTTGAAAAGAATACTGTGTTTACTCACGTATTTTGACGTTTAGATTACGAAACCGATAGAAATGAATGGGTCCCTCAGAGTTACAGCCTTCAAACTTTCGAAAATTGCTATTTTGCAGCCTTTTTTTGCACATTACAAACTATATTTATTTGACACTTCTCAATTTAATAATCAACATTTTGTCTGTAGGAATATTCAATAACGGAGTTGCTTTTTTCCGGTTTTAACTTCACAATGCACTTGGAGTCGCACGTTGAAATGTAAGCCCTCGTTAGTCCTTAGCTCACACGCGTTTTGACTTCTGAGGGTTGTCGTTCGTTGAGGGCGACAGCTGGTTAACAGAAAAACAGATTTCAAAACAGATTTTTTTCAAAATGAATGTCACCAGAGAAGGAATCCATTGTTAAATCAAATTTTTTATAGAAAACATTTTGATTCTCAGACTGAAAAGTGTCAAGGAAAGTGTGATGAGATGTGGAAGTGATGTGGTGAATGAATAATAGTAATTGTATAGATTTTATTGATGCCAAAGGAAAATTGAAAAGTTTAGGTACTTTGGAATCTCTGGAAATATGGGAGAACACTAATTTTTTTCTTTCGAATTCGTAATCCACTCGTTAAAGTACGTAAGGACACACAAATTTTCTCTCAAAATCAGCGACTGCCAGTCTGTTTTTGTTTTCAAATGGCCATTCAATCAGGTTTCACACAGGTAGTCAAATACACTGTATATTAGACTACAACTAGAAAATTTCGCATCATATAGAAATTCTTTCAATAATAGCTTCATCAGTAACTTGACTTCGTTAACAATGTCGGCTTTTATGGAGATGAAAACTAACCTGAAAATATAGTCACGTGATTCTCATCATCTGTCAAGTTTCAATTATCCGAAAGTGCGTTATTTTTTTATTTTGTTTCCTTGTAAATTGTACCCGTTTTTCTGGATGATAATCAGTGCAATCTGCATAAATCACCTCAATATTAACAGTCATTTTTCCTAGACACGTTTTGTTCTAAAGGAGGATCTTATTGATTGTGTTGACACAATCAGAATAGGATTTTAAAATTTAGTCTCAGGCGATGCATAGTTCATTCATGTTTAACCCTGTGTAAAGTAACTTTTTGAAAATTTCATTTTTGAAAAACCAGTTTGTGTCTAAAAGAAATGCAAATATTAAAAACAATAGTTCAAATGAATTGAGTCAAAAACAAGACCCTCCCGATTCCTCAAAAATAACATAGTCATAATTCAATCAATTCATATGAAACTACACATATGAACTCAACAAGTTTGGTACTTGTTTGGTATCTGGTTCAAGTTTGGTACTTGTTGAGTTCATCGTTTTCAGACAGACAGTCACTAGAATATACGTGTGGGGACTTTTTTATATTTTTCATTTAAACAAATACGCTTCAACCACGTAGGTGATAGAAGGTAGTGGTATATTACGTATAACAAATGTATGTGTTTTAGAAAAGCTTATAAATTGTTAGTATTACAATTTTCTCCAAATATGTCTTTGAGTGAACGAACAATATTGCAATCAAGTCCTATCATTATGATATAGAAAGCATTCGGTTAATATGTGTTCGAAACTTACAAGGAACTTTGTTTTATGATATATATGTAGTTATACAAAGATAAAAATTCGATACTATAATTTGGCGAATAAACCGGTGATCGTAATTTATAATTATGGCGGAAGCACCGGTGTTTCTCAATTTCAACAAAATTCAAATACTTTCACATTTGTGGTAAAGATGTTGAGAGATAATAAAAGAATGAGGAATCATTCAAATAATGTATCACGTCATATTTTGCTGAGAAATTAGCAGTTGTATATTCGTTTGAAAATCTGCAAACATAATTTCATCGAATAGGGTATTATGCACTACCCGATGATAATGACGTTTGTTCAAAAAACCATTTCTACCATTATCGAATATTTAACATCATTGTATCTCCTATAAAAAAGATTACCCTTTCCAATGAATTTCAAATCATCTTGTTATCATGTCCCATTCAGAAGTTGACAGAAAGTGGACTTTCAACATCCACAACAAATAATATTTGAAAAGAAAGTCGAAACACAACTTATAGAGGTGAATATATATTTTCTCCAGCTGTTACAACTGAGTTTGTGAGAGATGAATGCCTTTGTCCATGCTCTGTATAATTCGAAGAGAAATATCATCGATATTACTTTCGAAATGAATTATTTCATCAATGAGCTGATAGAAGCATCATTCATAGTTATCTACAACAAAATTCCCTCGCTAGATTCCAATAATTAATGTTAGTGCATGGCTCTTATTTGTGATCGATAAATTCGTTAATTTCAAACCCTGCAAGAAATTGATGATTAAATTTTATGGAAATTCATCATGTAGAATAATTTCGAAAGAAATAGATTGCTCTGTTCCACAATCATACAGAGTGAATACCAACAGATCCGATTCTCTGCTCCTAAATTATACGTTCAAAGGTATTTTTCAAAAATAACTCAATAGCCGCCAACTATACCATTTATGGAAAACTGTTGATAAATACTGAACGAGATCGATTCTTCATGATTGACATCCAGAGAAAAATTAGGAAGAATTCTTTGAAATGTCAACCGTTTACTTCGACTCCTTCATCGGAGTGGAATTCAACTGTTGAATAGTGAATTGCATAAAAATTCAAGTGACACCACGTTCAGAGCGATTTCTTTTGTCAACGTTTTGTTATTGGCATGATTTTATCAAGAATTTTTTCATTCACTTACTGATAATCAGAAGTCGATTCTTGCAAAAAATAATTTTTTATGTTGAACGGTTTAACGGAAAAAAAAGATAATAAAGATGTGGATATTGTACTGAAAATTAAAAAATAATTCGAAAAGTCCTAGGTAGTAGTCATCACATCACTCTCTTCAGCAATCTACGGTATTGATCTGATAAAAAATAAGGAAATTGTTGGGGGTAACGTAACCTGAGTAAATAATGTAAACACTACGTTTTATTTGATCAATACCGTATATTGCTGAGGAGGATGGTGTAATGACCACTACCTAGAACTTTCCGAATTGTTTTTCACAATTTCTGGTCATGAGAGTAACTGAAGTACACGTAACTTTACGTATGAGTAATTTCAGAAAAAAACTCGTTCGTTCCATTTTCGTTGATCTCAGAAACATTTAATATATATGACCTCGCGACCTGATCCAAAAGAGAATCCATTTATTTCATTCCGTATTGTGACTGGGAGGCTCAGCCTTCCGCTTCAGTTGATCACTTTTTCGAAGAATAAATTGAATGGAAATTTGATATGGCGATAAACTGTTTGATTTATGACCGGGCGTTTCATGTCTCTGGTTATTGAAACTGATCGTGTTTTTTCGAGAGAGATTTATGTTTTCTCGATTTTCAGTACTAAACGTGTGAAACTCTTACAAGAAGCTTGGCAATTCGAGTCAATTGATGATATATTATCTCAACGGTGATAATAGTAAATGATTTCACTGAAGGTTTTCCCTATATGATACTGAGCCAACATTAGAGATGCCGGGGTTCTGATCATATCAAAGAATATCTTCAGACATCCGTAAAGCAGAATTGAATATAAAGCGATTCTGCGTAGGAAACTTCAGAGGCGAACTTTTGTCTCTGAAACGATTAAATCAGTATCAGTTAATAATTATAATAAACAGTCTACACATTGCCCACTACAATTTCAATTTTCGTTAGATCGTGGAAAGTGGAAATACCAGCAAAGATATCGTTGTCTCAGAGTATATCAGATATATTTGAATTCCGTAGATATCATTCCGAATAAGTGTAAAACATTCAAGGAGATGATTTCTCATCGAAAAACAGATGAAGATATAAAGAAACTCCATTTGAGCATCCCTTGTTAAGTTATAACCCCTTGAATGGGGGGACATGAAATTTGTATAACAATTTTTTTTCACAAGCACTGAAAGAGTTACAATATCGAAATCAACCTGACGTTATGTACTACCAAAATGACATTCAGCCAGTAATTTATTGGTTCACCCCATGGTTGTAAGGGGTGGAAAACGCAACCCCTAAAATTCATTTCCAATGTAACTTTTTGTCTCATAATTTGTTTACCATTTGAGAATTAATTTCCGATAACCTGTTTCATTCTAAACATGTTTTTCGGATAACTACAGAGATACATCGTCATAAATGCGAACTGGATTTATTGTTATTTTGTAGTTAGTACCTGCACTGAACGATTGGAGGGTAATAAACAAAACTGATTCATTAATAACAAAACACACAACATGTAGAAACCATAGTTAATGTTCAATATGTCTACCTTCAGACATTACGCATGCGTCTAGACGTCGGCGCATTGAGCCACGTTTTCGCTCAAATATTCCTGAAGTCTCTCTGATTACCCTGCATGAATCGATGATGCGGTTTTTCAAGTCCTCTACATCGCGAACAGGAGTACGATAAACCAAGCGGGCCAGTTTTGTGGCTCTCCTCGACCCATCCACTGATTTGTATATGCTTCAGTTAAATGCTGACGTGCTACTTGACTAAAATGGGCGGGAGCCCCATCATGCATTAAAACATATCCCTTCTGACGCCCAAAGGAACTTCCTCCAGCAGTACTGGATGCACTTCTCTTGAAAATTGATAGTATGCCTCACCATTCAATCGAGGAGGTAGGAAATGAGGCCCAATTAAATCATCCCCAATAACTCCGAGCCACACGTTAAGAAAAAACTGTTCTTGATGGTTAGTTTCGACAATAGCGTGGGGGTTTTCGTCATCCCATATGTTGTAATTATGAAAATTAATTATCTTGTCCCGAGAAAAACTACATTCGTCTGTGAATTCTATCGTCGTCAAAACGTCATAATTTCTTCTAATCATTTCCAGCATCCAATTGCAAAA